ATTATATAGAAATTATATATGAAATTAAAGGTAATTTAATTTTGTATAAAATTTTATTTATACTATTCTAAATACCCTCCCCTATTTTGAATACATGCCCTTAATCGACGCGGTCAATCATCAATCGCAGCACACACCACAGTCATATATATTTCTGTCGCTGCTTTAGCCAAAGATGCTCGGAGAGATTCCAAATTCTGATGAGGATTAGCGCAGTTTTCTCCTCCAAATGTTACTATATCTTATAATCCAGTGGGCTTAAATCTGGACTAGAAGAGGGCAAATCTTCATGTTCGATAAAATCAATTCCATGGGCGGTCAACTAGTTCTGCGTTCTTCGTGCCCTATAAGCTGGTGGAGAGTGTTGGAATATCCAATGTCTGTTTTTGAAGATTTTTTGAGAAAGAAGTTCCACTATGTTTATTAAGACAATATTTTGGTACACCTCGGCACTGGTTTTTACACCTTTTTCATAGAAAAATACCTCAGTTAAGCCTGAATACCAGACTCCAAGCCAAACCATGAGTGACGAAGGATAATGTGCTCGTTGAAGCCTCGGAAAACACGTGCTGGCTTCTTCACTGCTGTGGGCATACACTTTATCATTTTGTTTATTATAACTTTATCTGATGTTAAAAAAGTTTCATCCTAAAACAAAATTTCGCGGTATTTTTTCCCGCGTACCATCGTAACAAAGCTCGGGATCTATCCAGCCTAAATTTTTTCAAACGCGCGTTCAAAAAATGCAGGTATTCTTACGATAAGCTCATAGTCCTACGTCTTCATTGATCACTCTTTTGACCGTGGTTCTGCTTAGACCCAACTGAAAAGCTAAGTTTTTTGTTTACGAAGAGGATTTCGTTGGATTCGCGCCTTCACTGCTTTGATAATCGCGGGTGTCCTAACTGTACGAGGTCGACCGGTCCTCTTACGATTTTCGATGCTTGAATCTTCAGTGAATCGTTTGATAGTGCGATAAATAAATCGTAGGGTTATTTTAAATTTTTGTAGAATATTGAAAATCTCTTTTGGCGAGTAACCACAGCGATACAACGCGATAACCTCTACTCTATATTTTTTCTTCGACCACTCCATGTTTGAAAATGAATGAAAATTAATGTCTGTTTTACGTTCGGTTAGCGCAAACGTTATATTTTTAAAATTGGTGAAGTTCATCTAGCCAGTATTCAAAAATTTTTAATAATAAGGTTTTGACAGAACTTATTACCTGACTATATATAAGTCTTATATATATATATATATATATATATATATATATACAGGGTGTCCCAGAACTCAACGTCAAGCCGAAACAGGGTGACAGGAATGATTGTTAAGATCATGAGAAAAAATCAGAAAAAAAATCTATCACATGCAGTTCGGAAATTATGGCCATTTAAGAAAAATCTAGAATTTTGGTGAAACTGTAACCATTTTCCGGTTTTTGTGGTTAATTTTCATTATTTTTGTTCATTTAAACTTTGGAACCGTAACCCTAAATAACATTTCTAGAACAACAGTCAAAAATAATGACACAACTGCCCCAAGTTTTCTAGAATTAAGACTATTTGTTAAACTATGAATTTAAAATTTTTTACATTTGTCGACTTTGAAAGGTCCTCCTTTAAAAAAAATATACTAAAGAGTGTTGGCAAGTGCCATTAAAAGTTTGCGCATTTAACCAGCATTGTAAAATGGTATAATACTTGTTAGTTTCATACTAAAAAAAAACTAGTTAAAAATAAAAACATCGAGTAACCTGATTTTTGCTAACCCATTTTACTCAGTTTAAATGTTTTTTATTCACACAAGCTCTTGGTAGGTTCTTAATTTTACGGAAAAATTATGAGAGAGATGGATAATAGACATGATTGCCGTGAGCGACCGAGACAGATAGTGACGCCACGCAATGAGACGGAGATGCGTCTAACACCAGTTAGTACGATTCGCTCATTCGTCTACTGCGCACCTTTCTGTATTCGCTTGTGTTGATTTAGTACTGACAACTTGGCTTCTCTTTTTGGACTTAGATTATTGTGAATTGGACTTGTTGATTACATACCGGGCAACTTTGGCTTCTCTATTTTGGAATTGCACTTTTGGCTTCTCTTTTTGGACTTAGATTATTGTGAATTGGACTTGTTGATTACATACCGGGCAACTTTAGCTTCTCTCTTTTGGAATTGCACTTTTGTGTTGGCATCCTTGTTATCTACCATGCCTACGCGCTACACTTCACAAGAATATGCCAACATGCACCTCATTTATGGGGAATGCAGATGCAACGCAAGTGCCGCCGCTAGACTTTATCGTGAAAGATATCCAACTTTAGAGCGCTATCCGGATCACCGCGTGTTTGTTAATGTGCACCGTTCACTTACGGAGGGCGGCCATTTCCCGAATCAAATAAGGGCCGGAGGTAGAGCTCGCTTTCCTTACGAGGAAGAAGTGTTGCAAGAGGTCGCAGATGATCCAAGTATTTCCGTTCGTGGAATTGAAGAAAGAACGGGAATACCCAAAAGCACATCACATCGTATTTTACAAAGAGCCGACATGCATCCGTTTCACGTACAACGCGTTCAAAGTCTTCTTCCTCGAGATTATCCTGAAAGGATTTCATTTTGTAGAACAATGCTACAGAGGCATAACGAAAATCCCCAATTCATCCAAAAAATTCTCTGGTCAGATGAATCTACATTTAAAAAAGATGGTTACATAAACTTACACAATTTTCACGAGTGGCATGTGGCGAATCCACATTTAATGCGAGAAGACAGATCCCAGTATCGCTTTAAAGTAAACCTGTGGACCGGAATTTTAAACGGCAAAATTGTTGGGCCTTTTGAGCTGCCTGAGAACTTTAATGGTACGAATTACTTACATTTTTTACGAGAAAATTTACCAACTTTGTTAGAGGACGTACCACTAGCAGATCGTCGCCACATGTGGTATCAACAAGATGGCTGCCCAGCGCATTACGCGGTGCAAGTAAGAGATTTTCTTGACCAGGAATATCCGGGAAGGTGCATTGGACGTTCAGGCACTATCTCGTGGCCAGCCCGTTCCCCAGATTTAAATCCCCTGGATTTTTTTTATTGGGGCGTTCTCAAAGAAAAAGTTTATTCAAAGCCCATTGACAGGGTAGCCGAGCTGCGTGAACGAATTTCTCAAGCTGCTGAGGACATCAACTCTCGAGGATATGCCCGACTAATAACTAGATCTTTTTTAAGAAGATGTAGGGCGTGTATTGAGGCTGATGGTAAACCATTTGAACACTTATTGTAATAAAAAAATGTTATTTCCCTATCTGACTTTTATTCCAATAAACCTAAACTAAACTAGGTCAAGATTTTTCATTATTTTGTTAATTTTACTTACTTCTGTTGACTTTTGTAAAATTGGCGTCACTATCTGTCTTGCTCGCTCATGGCAAACATCTCCACTATCCATCTCTCAAATCAAAAAAAAACATTTGAACTAAGTAAAATGGGTTACCAAAAATCGGGTTACTCGAGGTTTTTATTTATTTACTTGTTTTTTTTTAGAATAAAACCAACAAGTATTGTACCATTTTACAATCCTGATTAAATGCGCATACTTTTAATGGCACTTGCCAAGGCACTTTAGTACATTTTTTTTAAAGGAGGACCTTTCAAAGTCGACAAATGTTGAAAATTTTAAATTCATAGTTTAGCAAACAGTCTTAATTCTAGAAAACTTGGGGCAGTTGTATCATTATTTTTGACTGTTGTTCTAGAAATCTTATTTAGGGTTACAGTTCCAAAGTTTAATTGAACAAAAAGAATGAAAATTAACCACAAAAACCGAAAAATGGTTACAGTTTCACCAAAATTCTAAATTTTTCTTAAATGCCCATAATTTCCGAACTGCATGGGATAGATTTTTTTTCTGATTTTTCTCATGATCGTAACAATCATTCCTGTCACCCTGTTTCGACTTGACGTTGAGTTCTGGGACACCCTGTATATATATATATATATATATATATATATATACCAAACAACATTAAAATTAATACTGAAAAAACAAGTCTTCGAATAGCATTTTATACATTTATACAAAACAAAATATTGTCTATAACGCTTTGTGACCATTTCTTTGGGACCTCAGAAGGTGTATTGTGCAAAGTGTAATAATCCTGTTCCGGACTTTGTATCCTACAGGTGTTGTCTACAAATACTACTTTTTGCCTGTGATAACTTCAGTGAACACTTTTATAGAAAGTATAAGAAGAAAAGAGACAGATAAAAACGCGAGATGGCATTGGTTCAGAATAAAACTGTATATTATGTTAAATGTCATTTCTAATGCCTAAAAATAGATGTTTATCATGTATTCTCAGATTTCTCAGCGTCACAGGATTTCGTACTGAAAGCCCAATAACAAAACCATGGTCACTCAAGTATTACGTGAGCAGAATTTTAGTATTTTTAACCCCCCCTCCCTTAGTCAGCAAAATTAAGCAAAGCTCGTACTCCTCCTATGCTTACGTAAATAAGGACATATATTTTTCAAACCTGTTCAGGTTCCTTTATTGTTAGTACCTGGACGACCGAGCTTAGTTTCATTTAAATTTTCGTTTTTAAAAAATACTAAAAAAAAGGGTTCGATATAATAGATTTTCTCACAAAAGAGGGGAACTTGAAAAAAAAGGAAAAAAGTCGGGCTAAATAAAAAATATTGATGACTTCATCACCATCTAGACCCCCAGCTTCCATGTTATCAAAACTGGACTGTGTGCTCGTTTGTCACCCTATCCTATAAAAAAACTAAGCTATGGCTATGGCTATATATATAGCTTGGATCCTTGCTAACAAAGCAAGGATGCAAGCACTGCTTTTAGGCCCGACCTGAGATTCGAACCCTGATGACATGATCAGCATTTGCGTTTACGATCGCTGGTGTAAAGAGGCCGTTTGATATTTTAAGAAATTGAATTTAATATGTAAACAACATGGTATAATTTTCTATTATTGCAGATATTTTCAAGATTGAAAATGGAAAAGCCAAAAGCTTTACAAAAAGTCATACCTATTGTGGGTGACGTTAAGTCACTAAACCTAGGTATAACTCAAAAAGATCAAGATATGTTGATTGAAAAGGTATATTATATTTTATTTATTTTAGTTTACCCGCCATGGAAGAAATGGGGCTCCCCCATTGTAGTTAATTCAATAGCATTAAAAAAATGTGTATCTTCAATATTTTAGATAAATATAATACTTCAAATGCCATTCATGTTCTTCTATACAAATTCTCAAAGTTACGATATATTTTAGTTTTTTACTACGTACTTCTTCATGTATTATACATTTTAACTAACTGTAACTGACTTGTTTTGGGTATTAAACTCTTCATGATATGCATCACATAGCGAAATTTTTGGAATGGGATGTTGATGACCATAGTATTTCAAGCTAAGCACATATAGCAACACGAACCACCTACGGATCGGAAGCCGGTGGCCCGTGTTAATATTGACTCGAGATTCATTAAAAGATTCATTAAATTACCATCGAAGCACTTTTGACATACAGGAACAATATAAGATAATGAAATTCCCATTAAAACTCGAGCAAACTTTAAAGATAGCAGCAATCGCGCTTGATTTGCTGGCATTTTTTTTTTTCATTTTATTTATTCTTCAATAAATATAATAAGAGCTCTCTTATTATATTTATTGAAGAAACTCCTGGTAAGATCTTTACAAAATTTATGTGGAACAATTTTGGTATAAACATGTTCAAAACAAAAAAAAAAAAAAGATTTTTTTCAAATCCGTCTATATATGACGGAGTTATACTCGAATATACATAAAAAATATATAAACACTCGAATTGAGAACCTTCTCCTTTTTTGAAGTTGGTTAAAATCAACGTTCTTTTTTCAAAAGAAACCTGTATAAAACCCTCATAAAATACACATACTTACACATGCAAGAGAGATCCTGTGCATAAATATTCTCTTCTCAAGAACTGTAACTTCATATGTCAATAAATTAAGACTTAATAAGGTTTTTCTTTTAGGTATCCGTTGTTATTCATTCAGCGGCATCAACTATATTTGACAATTCACTAAAAGAGGCGTTAGAAACTAATTACGAAGGTACTAGAAATGTTTTAAGCCTATGTAAGAGACTGAAAAATATTCAGGTGTGTTTCTTATTTTTCTTATATAATCTATACATACAATTTTCTTGTAGTTTTAGTTGTCATTCATAATTATGCAAAACTCAGAATAAAGTAATAGATGTGAAAATAATAAAAGTTCTAGGTTTTTTTGTAAGTAAAGTAGTAATAATCTTAAGTTAAGTAATAAACTCTTCCCAAAATTGTCATCCTTAAAGGCTGTACATCAGACTGGAACTTTCAGTTGATAACTTTTAGTCGGTGCACACTTTTGACAAGTACCATCTTCATAACTTCTTTGAGTACCAAAACTTCTGTGATGTGAGATGTCGAAATAGACTAACTTATTTACAGAATAATAGATTCAGTAGAATTGATTTAGGAAAAAAATGTTAAATGATGAGTTTATTATGTTTGCAACATAGAACACTATTATACATACATAATATAAATTGGGAGTGGGCGGAGCCCGTGTAGCTACTTACATGTCAATTCACACCTATAAATGTCAACACATCTCTTTTGACATTATAATCGTTTCCAAAACATTACGTATTGAAAGAACAAAGGTATGTCCTACAACCAGTAAGCCGAAACCATTTATATTTTGTGAATATTAGAAATAAGGAAGAGGTGTAACAAAATTTTACCGATACTTATAAGCCGAAAAATATTGTCGCTTTTAAATTTGTACTTGGCTTAGTGAAAAGCTAAATAGATACGATTAAATACGATGAAAAATATTAATTTAATGACCTACAAATAAACTAAATTGTAACGTTTTTTATCAAATTGGAAATTTGTTCCCTCTATTCAAAAACATTAAAAATTTGCAATTAAGTTTTTAAATTCGATCTTTTGGTTGCGTATCATTAACATATACTATACAACATGTAACAAAAACCCTGTGGTTCCGGTTAACTGAATTATCAGAATAAGCATATAGAAATATTTTTTCGAAAAAAAAAACATTTAAAAAAATTATTTTAATAAGAAAACTTAATTTGCAAATTGTATGCGGTTTTATTATCTCTGCATTGTCTGAGGAGTAAGGGGATTGTCGAAGACCCCGCATTACCGATACTCGTGTGAGTTAGAGGAAATGAAATCACATACCATTTGCAAATTATTTTATTTCATTAAAATAAAAATAATTTATTTTTGTTTTGGAAAAAAAATATTTCTATACGCTTGGATACTGATTCTGATAACACACTTAACGGGAGCCACAGGTTTTTTATTACATGTTGTATATTCACCTCACGCCTCATTACCCACAAAGGGTTGGATAGACCCATGTTATTTGCTATTTGCTACTATTGGTACATTTTTTAAACATTTTTCATTTTTATCCGGACTTAAAGAATACATAGTAGACATACAACACTTGATCTATTAATTATTACGAATGGGTTGAATTGTTACGGCCTAGTAAGCTTGGAACAAATGTCACTATACCATAACTTTGAATAAATTTTATTATTCCGTAAATACTGTTTTATTTACTAAAGGAAGTAAGTACCTTCTTAATAGACCAACATTTAGTTATAGTTAATTTTGTATTCATGGCAACCTATTATATATATAAGATAAACAGGCCAACAGATTTCTAAGATAAGAAGAGAATTAAAAAAGAAATACTAATTTAAAGAAGTATACGAATACGTTTTCTTGCGCGTGAAAGTCATAATCCAGTCATACCACGTTATTCCTTTGAAAACAAAAGGTAACCTAGTCTTTTTAATCTTTCCAGATATCTGAATACCAAATCTCGTCAAAATCGGTTGAATGGCTTAGCATTTCCTATACAAAGTTTTATACCTACTTCACCGTTTTTATCCAAATTGGCGGTTTAACGGCTAATAACGACTAAACTAACTACTTTACAGCATATATAGCTGTGATATCACTTTTTTACTTAACCAGGCATTAAACTAACTAAACTTTAATAAAAAACAAATAAAAAAAAAGCTTAGCGGTCAGTCACCGTAGAGTCTACATCACCTGAGGATGCCTCGTGTAGAGGCGAAACACGTGTCGTATTGTCGTCGATGGTGTGTCTTACCTGGAATAGTGGTGTTGGAAGTAGTGATACCGGTAGTAGTGGTGTTGGGAGTAGTGGTACTGGGACTAGTGGTGACGGAGTTAGTGCATGCAATTGAGGGAGGGCAGGAGGTACTCTCGTAACCTATTAGTTATTGCGAAGTAATTTTTTTTATTATAAAGGTTTTCCGCAAAGTAATGCCTGATTTTATCAATTATCTCAACTTTATCAAAATTGATTCAGTGGTTTAGCCATAAAAGCCTGAAAGCCTGAAAGTATGGATTTCGCATACACACGATTCTGGACGACTCTATTAATCTATCTTTAATACATTTTGACAGCAAGTTACGTTTTTGTCTTTTAAATATATATTTAAATTTACATAGAATCGTGTATTTGGAACATAAAAAACATTTTTTTTCATTGCACTTTTACAAATGAATACTTTAGTATTTAATTTTTAATATAAAATAGTACAAAATCAATAACAAAAATAAATTATTGAAAAACAATTTAAAATAAATACACTCAAGTTATACCTGTGCTTACCGGTTACACACACTACATCCCATGCGGTGATACCATTATATAATAAAATTTGCTTAAATGCGCAGACTAATATGATGCTATGCATCTTAAACGTTTTTAAGAACCTAATTGTGTTTACTATTAGGTTGCAGACTATTTACAAATAAATATGTATTAAAATTTAAACGATTTATTTTTTTAATGATGATCTGATCATTAATCAAAAGTCTAAAATGTTGAATTCTCTTAATCTGTCAACGCAGCGAATCGGATTTGTAGTAGTGATAACACGACGTAATTGATTGTGTATGTGTGACACCAATCCTCGTACAAAATAAGGTTGACATCCATTCTACTGTGTATTATAGTATTCTATGATGTTGTAATATAGAAATATCACATTGTAGGACAACCTATAATTTTATCAACAAATGCATGGTCGTTGCTATATATCTGAAAGCCTTGCCATATCTAGTAGCGTATTTAAAGACTGAAAATAATGTATGATGTTAATAGTCAAAGTATAAGATGTTTACTACAGGAAATATAAAATTTATTTTATAATTTTACAAAACTAAGTAAATAATAAATATAATATAATATAATATAATATAAGAAAAAATTAAATGTATTATTATTTCAGGCATTTGTGCACATTTCAACTGCTTATACAAACGTAGATAAAAGCATCATAGAAGAAGTAGTATATCCACCACCAGCGAACATCAGCGATGTCTACAAATACTTAAAAAATCATGGAGATGATAAAAATCTGAACACAAAAATTCTCAGTATGTGATTGCGTCGTTTTAATTTGTTTCTTATAGTTGCATTATCAGCTTTATATTATGTTGTCAACAGAATTCGGAATGATTTATAATTTATAATAATACTAATAATGATTATGCGACATTTATTTATAAAAGTTAGTAACTTCGCAATATCAGATACAAGTCGCAACGGGTACTGACTGTCAAAGTAGCCACAGTCTCAGAAATTAAAAATATAAACTTGAAACTTCCAAGTCACAGAAATATTTAGAGATCGCAGTATACAAGTTTCAGATTTAGTTTATATCTCCTCTAGCTATGAAGATAGATGAATACTTAAATTACACGACATTGTAACATAAAAAAAATTACAGATGGCAGACCAAACACGTATATATTTACTAAAGCTTTGACAGAAGATCTGATTGCTAAAACACATCAAAGCGTTCCTACCGTCATGATAAGGCCATCAATGGGTGAGTATTCCAAAGGATAAGCAAAATTCCTGTTTCAGTTTTATTTAATTTGCTTAATAACAATTTTAATATTTTTGTAGCAATAAATATGTAAGTTATTACTAAATATTAAAAGTTTTTATTGATTTTTTTTGGTTGTTTCATTGTCTTTATCACCTCGTATAATATCATTGGCTCTCTTTTATTTGTAAACAGATTAACCTTTCAACCTTTAAGGCGGTCCAGTTCTCAGAGGATTTGAGAACATTTCATTTTTTGAAAATTTTAAATATAAAAATGTTCATTGTCCTAACATTTTAAAAATAGAGATACCATTTTAAAATTCTTTATTTATTTACATGTGTAATTTAGTCATGGCTTATTACACTGTTATATCATTAAAACACTGAATAATTTCTAATACCTACTATTTCCATTAAGCAACAATACTTCGAATCATGTGTCGTCCTCATCGCTTTACACCTTGGTGAAAACCTGAGAATAATTGAAAGTATTCCGAGTAAATTCAATAACCATATCTAAATTTTTGCAGTTTAAGCCGAGAATTTTAAAAGTTTATAAAATTTTATTTTCAGTGGGACCTTCTAAAGATGAACCATTGAAAGGATGGCTAGATAACATGTCTGTACCTTCGAATCTCCTACTTGCTGGTGCTACAGGCTTAAATCATGTTATACGTGGCAAAAAATCTAATATAGTCGATTTTGTACCTAACGCGACAATCAAAAGAATAAACTAAATGTGCATAGTTCTTATTATATTACTGACACGAGTCTATATTCTTGTCGAAATAATAATAATTTTAATACTTTTTATTAGACTCAAATAACATGATACATATGTTCCGAGATTCGAGATTCTTCATTCTGAGCTCCTGAAGTAAGAATTCTGTACATCAGTAGTAGTCTCTTCCATAATTTATACACAAACAATATTAACATTTATTTTTTTTAACTTGTAAGTTGTGGTTACCTGTAAGAATACAACCTGTTCAACGTTGCATATAGTCGCAGTATTGAATTATATTTTTGTTAGTATTGTGTATCATCTGTTGGTGATCCAAACAAAGAGAAAAAAAAATATTCATAAAAGTTTCTCTGTGCGGAATCTCATGGATAATTCATTGTCAAAACCGACGAAGGTACTTCCTGCAATGGCATAAGTCCAACCAAAGTGGTGAAAATGTCTACAAATTTTTTGTTAAATATATATATAAAATATGTATTGTAAAAAAATTCGATATAAAATCAGATTGTGGATGTCTTTTAGTCTGTGGTTCAAAAGAGATATTTTTTATACTTTTTGATAAAGTAGGTACAAATAAAAAAGTCCTATTATAATGTTTTCGGAGTTATGAATTTTTAAGTCAATATATATAAGGAATTCTATAAGGAAAATATTTTCTTTTAATTTCGCTGAAGGTTTGTATCAACCATTATTGAAAGAATACTAATTTTATTTTTGTATTTTACTATTTTTCTTTATATGTTGTTAGGCGAGCTTAAAATAATGCGCTGGCTTGATACAGGCATTGGAGTCTCTTTATAGGGACTCTAGTGCTTGTGTTAGGATCAACGGGGTCTACTCGGACTGGTTTGACATCCATAAAGGTGTCAGACAGGGCTGTGTGGCTTCCCCGTGGCTGTTCAACCTATTTATGGACAGTTGTTTGCAAAATTTGAAAGTTGAAGAATGCGGATTAAGAATGGGTGAGTTAACCGTCAAATGCCTTTTGTACGCCGATGATCAAGTTATTCTTGCGTCGTCGGCGGCCGAGTTGCAAATGATGGTTACATTAATGAACGGATCATTAAAATACAGGAGTATGAAAGTGAACGCAAGTAAGACGAAGGTTATGGTTTTTGAAAGAGAAGAAAGTAAAACGATTTGTGAAATAAGAATAGAAGGGGAGTTGATCGAGCAAGTAGATGAGTTTGTATATTTGGGCTGCGTATTTAGCAGTTAAAAAATAATAAATTTGTAATTAAAGGATTTTCTACTAGAAAAAGAAACGTGTATTTTTGGCTTTTTTTGATCGATAGTAATATGTATAGGTATTTAAATCTTGTAATCTCGGAAGCTCGGAAGTCCGATTCGCACTTGGCAAAATATTTGTTTATATTTAACTTTACCTCAGACATACTCATATTTTTTATATATAATTTACTATACTACTATATAAGCTACTACTAAATAAAATAGTAGTAGCTTTGCTATGGTATTATAGTATATTTTGGATTAGATTTAATTTATTACAGAATAATACGAACTATATAAAAACTAAGGAGCGCATCAACCTACCTTAGATATTGGATTATGAATACAGATAAGTACACATAGGATTTAGTTTCTAAGTTGTACCTACATATTTTATAGCCTTCGTTATGAATAGCATAAACAGGCCAAGCCTCCTAGCCTACAAACGTTTCGTAACGAATCTCTTTGTACAATCGCGCCTTTTATTTGTTTGGACTAACCACCTGACTCGTTCAGTGATGCCATTCCCATACAGTGTTTAGTTTTCAACTTCTATCATAAAATAAATCAAAATTTTATTCATATTTCGCTAATTGTGTCTGTACTGTGAATTTGATTTACAATCGATCTCTTGTAGTTTTCTTCTAATTTGACGCCTTGCCTAGACGTGTTCTTTGGATTTCTGTAAGGAAGTCTGTGCTGTTAGTATTCCGTTTATATACGTTACTATTTCGATAAACGGTTTTTGCTTGTCCCTGCAGTGACACAATGCCTATTGTTTATAACTTTCTAAGTACTAAAAGAATATTTCAAACCGCTATTGAAAACAAACAATCAATAAACAATTTACAAACTAACATTTTATATTTATTTAATTAACCACGCTGTCGAAAAAGCAGTTATCCTGACACTGGCTGACATATACTTCGGGGAGTTGCCTGTGGGCTATTATAGCTAACTAGCTACTTATGGAAAGTTAATACCTATTTGGAATACATAGTACCTACAGTAATATTTGCATAACCTACAGTAAAATACAAAAACATAAAGAAAACATAATTATGTTACACTTTTTTGTGTTTGTTTTAGAAATTGTTATACTTTTTTCAAAAAAAAGTTTTTTTATGTTACGGTTTTTAGTTGAGAGTTATGTCCCTTTAGTGGGTACAGGCGTGATATTATATTGTGTGATTGTGTAAAGAATGCATAGATAGGCGATAGCAGCAATCGCGGTTGATTTGCTGTCATTTATTGAAGAGTTCCCCCGATTTCTCCAAGAGAATATCGTGGAGGCAGTTTCCAAACATAAATTGCACAAGGACAAACATCCAGACCCGGAACAACTATTTGTAGGCCATACAAATATTTGTTCCGTGCGGGATTCGAACCCGCGGTGCCCAGCGCAGCTTCATTGCTAAGCCACTGCGATACGGAGCTCAAATTGCCGTTTGAGTTTATGTTATTATTCAAAAATGAATCGCATAGGTAGGTACGCGATGACGCCGTCTCGCATTGCGTCACTCGAGTGCGTATGTGTGTGCGCCTAGCTTCCTACTGCTCATCACAGCGTCTATCCCTTTCGCACATGATATCGGCTGAGATAGCATGCATTTTTACCCCACCCACCACTTAGTTCGTGCCCGACTAGGGCAACCTAAAAATTAAATGGGACATCGAGGTGTGCATTTTTGGATTTTCCAAATTTTAATATCGAATTTTATGTCTGAGATAAGTACAGTAATTGGAGGTATCTTTGGTCGGCTACAGGAACATTTTGACTAAAGATAAATAGATAGAAAATATGTTGCAAATTTCTGATTCGTTAGAGGTCATTTTATTGTTAAATTTTATCTGTTTAAAATTTTATTAACCTATTTTATACCTATTATCTTATACTCATAGTCACGGGGATTTTACGTGTTCGACGTCCAAATATCATAATAAACCACGGTTACGTATTAATTTAAAGTTAAAAAATGTAGGTCTGATCTACGCAGAACGAGCTTGCTTAGGTTTGGATTAAATTTTATTATTTATAGAATCCCAATCAGATGGTGAGCCGTGGTAGCTCAGATGGTTAATGTTCGCTGTTTATAATAGAACGCGAATAACCCGGGTTCGATCCCGCCGGCATCAATGAAATTGTTAATTGCAATTTTAAGTGCTGATTTATCACGTGCTCGGCGGTGAAGGAAAACATCGTGAGGAAACCTGCATGTCTGAGGAATAAGAAAAAAAATATTTCGAAGATATGTGAAGTTCGCCAACACGCATTGGGGCAGCGCGGCTGATACTTCTTTGCCCTAAAACCCTCTCAAAAACGAGGGGAGGGCCTGTGCCCAGCAGTAAGACGTATATAGGCTGTAACTTTAATCAGGTGGTAGCCATCTTCTCTATTGCAATAAGAATGATTTTGTTTCAATAGTCTCGTGAGTTAGCCGTGAAAGGAATCGATTTTCTTTTGCGAGGATTTATATTCTATCAAATCTGATACATGTGTTTCTATAGGTCCCATAGCATCAATGTTAACACATACCGACTCATCAACCACGTCCAAAATGACTTAAGACTCCATGCTACAACAGTTCCCATCCACAGAGATCGCGATGCTTGGTTATTTTAACGCTCACCACGCTGAATGACTTGTCGCGTTTATCAGATCATGCTGTCTGTTTATGACTTTGCTGTTTGATATGGTCTGATACAACTAGTTAACTCACCTACGCGAACCGCAGATGTGGAAGATCATGTACCTTCCCTGTTGGATCTTCTGCTGATCTCTCATCCGGACGGATATCATGTCCTCTTGGCTCCCCAGACCATTGTCTGATCCAGAGTACGATACCACTCACGCTCTCATCGCGGTTATGTTAGTTACTCCCGTTACTCCTGAACAAGCTGGTTTACGAAAAGGCTTCAGTACCATAGACCATATACATACCCTGCGGCAGATTGTGCAGAAGACCAAATAATACAATCTGCCACTTTGCCCGACGTATAGGTGGACCATGAGAGAGCCTTTGATTTCGTCTCAATTTGTGCGGTGCTACAGTCCCTTCAGTGATGCCAAATTGACTGTCGGTATATCGAAGTGATGAAGTGTTTGTACAATAAGGCTACGATGGCAATTCAAGTACAGAACCAGAGTACGAAATCTATTCAACTGCAAAGAGTTATATCCCCGAAACTCTTCACGTTAGAAGACGTTTTCAAGCTACTGGACTGGAAAGGATACGGTATTAACATCAATGGTGAAAACATCACTCACCTTCGATTTGCCGACGATATAGTCCTTATGACAGAATCGCTGAAGGACTTAAGCACTATGCTCAATGACCTCAATAGTGTCTCCCAACGGATAGGTCTCAAGATGAACATGGACAAAACAAAGATTATGTTTAATGTGTATGTCACACCTATGCCCGTAGTTGTTGGGAGCACTAAGCTCGAAGTTGTTGACGAGTACGTTTACCTGGGAAAAATAGCTCGACTAGTTAAGTTCAACTTCGGCCAAAAGGCCAATCGACGGATTCAACTCGGCTGGGCAGCGTTCGGGAAATTACGACACATTTTTATATGTATACCTCAAACCCTGTAAACGAGATTGTACAACAGTGTGTGTTGCCAGTGATGACTTACGGATCTGAAATTTCCTTCACTGCTGACCATATGAGGACTCTCTATGTTGTTCATCAAGCTATGGATAGGGCTATGCTTGGGGCCTCTCTGCGTGATAAACTTAAAAATGAGGATATTCACAGTAGAACTAGAGTGACCGACATAGCCCAATGGATTAGTAACATGAATTGGCAATGGGCCGGCCATATATCTTGAAGAACCGATAACCGATGGGGAAAAAAGGTTCTCCAGTGGCAGCCTCGTACTGGTAGGCGTAGTGTAGGGCGACCCTCCACTAGATGGAGTGACAACCTGGTAAGACATGCAGGACGTCGATGGATGCAGGAGGCACCGGACCGTGCTTTGTGGCATTCCTTGGGGGAACATAGAGGTTCAGAAGTGGACTTGTGAAGGGCTGTAATGATGACGAATGATGATGATGATTTTTATTTGAAAGAACTTTTAACAGAATTATCTTAAAGCGATCAGAAATCAACTTTAATATTACTCTAATTTTTAGGTATTTGTACTCAGTCATTATCGTAAAAACTGGTCTTTTTAACCTAACACATTAATAAATTTTTAAAAATTTTTAAAATTTGTAATTAATAATAATAAGAAATATATTAAATACAATAAAAACATTGGAAAGGAAAATGATTCTTGATCATTTTCCTTTCCGATAAAGTGCTTTTTTATTATTTTTGTGTTCATTATGATTGTTAGATACAATTTCATGAGACAAAACGTTGGATTCTTGGTTATTAGGCGCTAGTAGAACGCATCAACGCGCTTTGCGCTTAAGGAGTGCAAAAGCAGTAATAATAATAGTGTGTTGCTAGATGAACTTTTAAACTGAAAATGAAACAGGTATTACCAAATCTTCATTTTATACTGAAGGCTGCTACAACCAGATAAAATTATGTATAATTATCCATCAATGTCTAAGCCGCCAAATTATTCTAAATTTCTATTACGCACTGGCTTTTCAAAACTGTACACAACTAAAATGAGGGTAATTCTATGAAACATGAAAAAGAAAGTTGTCAGTACTCTTAAATAAATCTAAAACATTATTTTGAATTGTATACCGGTGAATATCAATTAATAAATGCAAATTAATGTTATTATCTCATGGGTACCGTACGAGGCAATAGAGAGAAATGTAAAAATGCGGCTGTCATGCTCTGCAACTATGGCAAACATCTCTATGCTCTGACTTTTGATAGGCTGTAATTAATGATAAATTACGTAATAAGAATAAAGTAGTGAATTATGACAAAAAATACTAGCGTACCACTAGCCAATTCGAATAAGCGAAACAGAAACATAAATACATACAGATTGCATACAGATCTTGCGAGGTTTTGTAAATGGGCAGCGAGTCCACGTTTTTAATAATATTTTAAATCTCTCTTCCTGTGATTAGACATAAGCTAGTAGTACCAGTTAATCGACTCCACTGAGTCAGTAATTCATTCTTGGGGCGATGTATACGATTTTACAACAAAATCCCAGAAAAAATACAAACATTGACCTGCACAAAGTTCGAAATCTTTATTGAACTAAGTTTGTATAGAAAGGGTTATAATGTTAAGAAATTTATGGGTGACAATAACCTCTGGGGTGGGTGATCGCTGCCAATCTATTTCATGATTGTGAGCTGTCATTAAAAAAATAGTCCCGCTGAGTTTCTTGCTGGTTCTTTCGATGAGAGTGATTTTTGTCCGAACCAGTGGTAAATTAAAAACAAAGTGACTTTTATTAAGTATTATTTATACTCGTAAGTACCCGGTTGACCGAGCTTTGCTCGGTATTTTTCGCTCGGTTTTTTTAACTCGTGTGTTTTAGAAATTATATTTAGATACAAATTACATACTGATGAAATACGAATAATATTTTTTGATCTTAGCGACATAATAGAAAAAACTGAACTGGTTATTTGAATAAAAAATCATGAGTGCAATTAGTTTAATTAAAATTTTCGTGTTTTTAAAAAATACTAAAAAAAGGGCACGAAAAAATAAATTTTCTCAAAAAAGAAAGGAACTTGAAAAAAAATTAAAAAAAGTCGGTCGGTCGGTCTGGGCTCGAACCATGGTATTACGACTTTGTGACCACCCAATATACCAATTAAGCTATTTGCAATCATTAACAAATTGTCAAAATTTACCTTCTTATTCTAACGATATTGTAGCAGTTTTTCATTGCCTAAAAACATGGACAAAAAGATATTTTCTAAAAATTGCTGGATCGATTTATTGCCCCCGAAACTCCCTGCACACAAAATTTTATGAAAATCGTTGGAGCCGTTTCCGAGATTCTGTGATAATGAAAGGGTTCAGAACAACCAATAACGATGCAAATCAAAAGACGTTTATTTTATTACTGTAATAAATTTTTGAATCAATTTCAAAACTAAATTTTTACTTTCTTGATCTCGTAACATTTTGTGATATTAAATAAAATAAAAATATTTTACGCCTACAATGATGACTGTGATTTGTGATTCATAATTTTTAAGTATTTTTTTTTCATAATTACACTTTAATATCTCGCAAAACTTTACTAGTTAGTACTAGATGATTAGGGAAAATATAATATTGATTTTTACGGCAAAATCAGGGTTTTGTGCCTGAAAAACATTGTTAGCGCAGTTTCAGTAATGTTTATTTTCTTATATTGCTTGCATTTAAAATTATTTAACTCAACTTCAAAATCAAGGTCAGATTCTAGTTCTATATTAAGTTTACTTTCATTTGAAACTATATCAATCACTTCAATATTCCAGCGTTCCTGAGTTATACCATAAAATAGTTTAAAAAAATCCTGTAATATTTAAGTTTTACGATTACCGACTTATAGCTCGGGGGCGTCGACATGTTTTAATGGAACCTTGCTTCAAGATGTAGCCAATAGTGTCAGTGACACCTCTTACATATGGCAGTACAGCAGGCATACGTTTGACTATGGATGATTTCACTCGTTTACTGTAACGTATGTGCGAGACCAAAAGTTTGTTGTCCTGCAAAATTTGCTTAAGGTGTTGAAGCAAAAAAATTGTTATAAGAATATTAAATATTGCTGAATATACTCGTACGTACACGTAACTCGTAACTCGAAGAGTTTTATAGTGATTGTGCTACCTATACATTGTCAAAATGTCCGTCTCTGACATTGCGATTTGGGTGTCATGCGAGTAACGTGCAAATGAGTTATTTTGCTAGGGAAAACTCAAACTGAATTTTTCGCTCAAAGGCTAAGTATAGTCATTCAGCGAGGAAACGCATCAAAAAGTGCAGTTCTTGGCATTATACTGCGGGGAGGAGGACTATATGATAGCTTCAGTTTGTAGTTTTAGTTTTTAGATTACGGTGATAATTGTATATAGTTGTGTGTTATTAAAATAAATTAACCACATTATCATATTTTCAGATCAGGAAATCTGACAGTCTATAATTGCTGTACTGGCTCTACAAATCCTACTTACTTAGGAGAAGTTTTTAAGTTTTTTAATGAAGCTCCTATTAAATTTCAAGATAATTCATGTGAGTAATATTCTTATTGTCAGTCCATCAGTAGAGGGAGTAACAAGTTTTACCAATAGTTAAATTAGATGTATTATTGATTCTCTTTTTTCCTCTTATGGGTGTTTTTCTGTAACTATTTAAGCTTAATGACCACTAAAAGCAGCTGATGTACTACCGTACCTTTCTACCATCTAGAGATTCACCACTATCTACCAACAAGCTATATAAAGTACAAACTTAGGTTACTAATCGTCTGGAAGATGATTTTTATCACTATCAACATTTATTTAATAACTAGCGTGGTCTGCACGGATTATTCTGGATCTCGACAACAGCGCCACCTATCGGTACAAATGGAGTTTCAAACAATCAAAGAACCCACTCAAATACACACAATTCATCAAAAGCGGTGTAGTCATTTCTGTTTTTTTTTTTTGAGACTATCCGACAGCATTTAATTGATGCTGTTTAATTAATTAATGCTTTATACACCGGCCGTGCCAACATTTCTCGGGAAAACGTGGCTGAATAACGGAACAAACTTGTGTCTTTGCTGAATTGATTATCGGATTAGAAGCCACTAAATCTAGTCCCAGTACAACCTCCAGATGACACAAAAATGCGTGTGCGCTAAAAAGAATCGCTTTTACGTATCTCCTCAGTTTCAAGGCACTCCCCTTGCTGCCTCCGCTAGCATTGAAATCCAGTCGATATATTGAATAGTATGCAGTTTCGTGATCACTTGGAAGGGAAACTCAAACTTTCCTCTAAAAAGCTTGCCGTGCTCAGCAGAGCGGTAGAGTATTTCATGTCGGCACATCGCTTGCAAATTAAAAAAACACATGTCGTTGTTGTGTTCTCATTTCTAGGCTGGGCCATCACAGTGCCAGTTCCTTCCACTAAACCGCATCCAGCGCAGAGCGGTTCGAATCTTGAACGACCGAGTTCATTCTGATCGGCTTGATTCACTGGCGCTGCGTAGAGATGTGGCATTCGTTTGCATTTGCTATTGCATCTGCCACGGGAATTGTGCTAAGGAATTGTTCAGTTAATTCCAGCTGCCAAATTTTATGAACGCCCATCGCTTTAAATTTCACGATACCATCCTCACCATCTGCGTGCCTGGCAGTTCACCATAGGTTTTACTTGAGGTTTTCTTCCTCGTACAACTTCTCTGTACCATTGTTTACCACCGGCGATTTTTCCGGACCGATACGAATTAGGGACCTTGAAGAAAAGAGCTTACTCGTTTCTAAAAAGCCGGCAACGGACTTGCAATTCCCCTGGTGTTGTGGTTGTTCATGGGCGGCGCTAGTCCCTTGACATCAGGTGAGCCGCATGCTCGTTTGCCCCTCCTTTTATAAAAAAAAGATGTTATTTACATTTATTATTTAAATGCATATATTTGCTTTTTTTCAGACGGTTTCTACTTTCGTAAGGTATTTATTGCAAATACGAAATTAGCAAGTGATATACTGACGTTTTTGACACAAATAGTTCCTGCCTATATCATGGACCTCTCACTTTTTTTAAAAGGAGGCAAGCCAAGGTATTTAAATAAGCAACGAACTTTAAAAACTGTAAATAGGACTTATGCACCTAGGATATTAAATTAAATGGACATTTTTGAATTCAAATATGTAAATTAATATTTTTCTTTAATTTTAATATGTCATTTTAACATTAAATAATAACATGTTATAAAACAACAACAAAAAAAAATAAAAAATTGCAGTCGCCATCCATTCAACCTCTAAGGAAATTCTTGGGAGAGTCCTAATAATAAAAGGTAATATTAATGACAATAAAAGAGTGTTATTCAAATTCTTACCTATTTAAATCACTACAAAAAGATGAGAAAGCCAACAATACATCCTTAATAATAACCAGCAATTTAATGTCATCATTATCATCATCACAGCCTATAAAAGTCCACTGCTGAGCATAGGCCGCATATTGCCGCATAGGGGACACATGTTGATGTATTTTATCTGTCAATGGGCAGATTAAAAAGGAAATTGAAACTGTAGTGGGTAGTTAAAATTAATATTTCACTTTAATATTTCACTTAACTTTGACTAGTGTGTCATGACGTTCGCTTATTGTCGAAAAGATTGATTTCTTATTATTTACGTGAACACTACACATTGATTAAAACTACTTTTACGGATTTTATCGCGTTTAATTTTAGAATTAACCGCGATAAAATCTGTAAAAGATTATCCTTAACTATGGAAACTTTATTATAAAATGTAAGGTTAATATGTGTTATGTATCACACTAAAACTGTATATGTTTCCATTGAAGATAATATAAAAATAAATAAATAAATTATTAATTTAAGGATAGTGTCCCGTTCCTAAGTAATCACGTTATTGCCAATTTAAATCTGCTTAAATTTGATCAATTTATTTTTCAGGTAGATATTGTTCCAATTCTACAGATTATCCATGTGTCGTAATATTGAAATATATAGATAAGAAGGGGTTTCTATTTATTTGAATTATAAATGGTTCATTTTTTAGGTTTGTGGAGCTCCAGAAAAAGTTTATTCCAATGAGGGATAAGGTACCGTATTTCACTCTTAATACCTGGCTTTTTAAAACGCGGAAGACACAAGAGCTCTATTCCCAAATGTCAGAGCAGGATCGATATACATTTCCTTTTAACTTATCTGATATTAAATGGCCTGAATATATGCATTTATATGCTAAAGCAGTGCACCAGTTACGAAATAATACGAAATAAAAAACAATCCCAAAAAGATATCGCCCCAAGGACAGAAAAATAAATATATTTCATTATAAATACAATTGTAATATTATATATATATATATATATATATATATATATATATATATATATATATATATATATATATATATATAATATAAAATATATATATATATATATATATGGCATTTTAGCAAAGGAAAAAAAATATGCAAATTTTCTTTTATTTGACGTTCATGGCTGGTTTCAATAATAAAAAGCAAAATAATTTTCAACTATGCTCACTTTTTTGCAGTTTTTTTTTTTAATTACACTTTTATGCAATTTTTAATACAATTTCCAATTTTGATAAGTTTATATAGATATATAGTACCCGTGTGGTTAAAGAATGGGATTTAAAATGACGACACCTCCATTCCCCTCTCGCTCGCACACTGTCGCTATGTGTACTCACACCTGCCGGTAACGACTGAAAAAAAAGAAACGTTGCGATATATATTTTTCGTACGTTCTATGACTTCAGTTCAACTTGTTATAGGAATCAATAATAACAAAATGCCATAAACCACAAAAAAATCTGTCCAATTTTGATCACGTGTGAGCAACGCCGCGTATTGGGTTTTCTTCATGTATATTAAGAAATATTGATAAGATAAAATAAACGGACTTTGATGATTATCGTAAGTCTAACTAACGCCACATTATTAGAAACTAGAGCAAGTCGCTAGTTAGAAATTTAATTTTAAATTAATATAGGTTGCGTGTAAAGTTTTCTGAAATATTTTCTCATTAATACAAAATTTCTAATTAGGCGAATAATATAACGTTATAACGACATATCGTTATTAGCGGGTATCGCTATTGGTAGTGTACATGTTGACAGAACGAGCTCGATGAGTCGCCATATCTAATCCCATTCTTTATCCGTACGGGCTACATATAGATAACTCAAGATTTTTTATCAAAATGAAATTACACTGGCGCCGTAGAATATTATATATTATATTAGAGATGACATTTCGTGTAGCGGATGTCAAATGCTATTATTATATTATAATTTCAAATATATTAAAATAGCTATTTGTCGTTGCCACTGGTGACTACAACACTCGTAGGGCCTTGTTTTAAAAAACAAATATAGTTTCTGCAGTTGCTCTACCTGATAGCAAAAATTCATAAGACGTTACACGTTATGCTTTAAAAGTAACTAAAATAAATAAATCTAGTTCATAATCAATTTCTCTATTTCAACAATTGTAAGACTTCTAATCTTTCTTACAGCATATACTGTAGAAATAAGTCAGCTTGCTAATTAAGATATATGGAGGCCCAATTGAAGCTTCGTGTCAATAGTAATTCCAAGAAAACCAGTAGTATCAACAAGACTTAACTCCTCCTCATTAAAGACCTCTTTGGTATTCGAATGCTTAATAATAGGTCCTTACATATGAAATTGGCGGTTTGTACGGGGGAATATAAAGTCATTTTTTTTTGTAAAATATATTTAATTAAAGTATGCACTGTTGTTATCTATGCACTTTTGACATTGCATAGGTAGTTCATTGATCTCTTTACTAAAAAAAAAACCATGGCGGCGAGAATCATTAAACTCTTTGAAGGCGGTTTTGGCTGTCGCATCGGAGTTGAATTTTTTTGAATTTTTTTGTAAGAAGTTGTCCAAATTACGGAAAAAGTGGTAATCTGTTGGAGCAAGGTCCGGGAAGTGCGGTGAATATGGCAGACATTCAAATTGTAGGTCCTCTAAGTTAGTAGTTGTTAGTTGTGCAGTATATGGTCTTGCGTTGTCGAGAAGCAGCAGTGACCAAGAGCGATTGACCAATCTCGGTTGTTTAGCAGCTAGTTTTTTCTACATGGTTTGCAGTTGCTGACAATAGATATCTGCCGCAATCGTTTGGCCAGATTTTGGAAAGCTGAAGTGAACGACTCCGGCGCTAGTCCACCAAACACTCTCAAGTAACTTTTTCTGAGTCAATTTTCGTTTAGGGCATGATTTGGCTGGGTCTCTAGGGTTCAGCCATTGCGACGAGCGCTTCCGATTATCGTACAGTATCTACTTTTCATCAGAAGTAATGATTCGATTTAAAGTCCCTTCATTTTTGTGTCGGTTGTTCAAAATAACACAGCAGTCGACGCGTGTTTGCAAGTTCGATTCACAATTCCTGAAGTACCCATCGTTCAAGTTTTTTTACCTTCCCGATTTGCTTGAAGTGGATTAATACAGTTTTATCACTTATCCCGAAGCCATCAGCTATCTCTGAAGTGCTTCATGATGGATCCGCTTCCACAATAGCCTTTAATTCTTTATTTTCCACTTTGGTCTCCGGCCGTACACGGGGTTGGTGCTGAAGGTCGAAGTTTCCAGAACGAAAACGTTGAAACCAAAAACGTACCGTGCTTTCTTTTGCGACACCAGCGCCGTACACATCATTAATCCTTCGAGCTGTTTCTGCAGTACTGGGGCCACGGTGAAACTCGTGCTCGTATATAAACCGATATTTCATGTTTTCAGATCAAAGTGGTCAGTACGACAAAACGCAAATTTCATTCGTAAGGACCCAATATTAGGTATTTTAAATGTAATACATTTAATTTTATTACCATTTAAGAGTAAATTGTGTTGCGTAATTGCCATGTGAGTTTGAAAATTAAAGAGGTCATCAGCATATAATACAATCAAAATAAGGTAAGTCGTTAATATAGATTAAGAACAGGAATGGACCAAGAATTCAGCTATGAAGAACGTTCATTGATATTATCGATACAGAGGAACCCCTAGCATTGAGAACGACTTTTGAGTTCTGTTACTAAACTATGAAAATATAATTCTAAGAACAATATTTTTGACACCGTAATGTTGTAGTTTCCTGATTAATGTCTCATGATGAACACAGTCGAAAGCCTTCGAAAGATCTAAATACGAGTACATAAGGCATCTTATAAATTATTACAGGCATTAAAAATATATTTAGTAAACTCAACTAACAAACATTGTGGTTGTGTAACAAAACTTGGTAAAACCAATTAGTTTTTTATGGTGTAATTTATTTTTCTTAATTTTTTTAACTGTTAATCCAGGATTATTTTACCAAAAGTTTTACTAAGAGTTATTAATTAGTAATTAGTTACTTACTACGTAGTAGAGCCATGCCACGATGGGCCACTCCAGGTTGTTGTGTTTCGTATGGTGAGTGTAGAAACCCGGAGACCGCTTTTATTGGAAACGTGGCATTCCATTTTAGTCTTCACAGGTGTCAACGCACCTGCATTTGGATTCGTCGGGGACAGATGTAAATATATATGAGTGACAGAAACTACTTACCATCAACTGGGCAGTGTGCTCGTTTGTTACCCTTATCTTATAAAAATTATACAGGAATAGGCCTAAAATTAGCAGAACCCAGTATACTACCGGATTTTAATAAAGGTATTACTTTACTGCCATTTGCGTCGTTGCTCATGGGGGGATATTCGGGTTGGCAACCGCAGTTTTTTATTATGTTATTGTTTTTATCAGGAAGATGCTACTGCCCATCTCCTTTCTGTGTCTCTCTGTCGCCTCTTACGACACCCACGGGAAGATATGGGGTAGTGGATATTCTCAACCGCCACTACACGGCTTGCCGTATGAGGACGCTCAAGGTCGCTCAGCGAGCTATGGAGAGGGCTATGCTCGGAGTTTCTCTGCGTGATAGACTCAGAAATGAGGATATCCGCAGTAAAACCAGAGTGACCAACATAGCCCAACGGATTAGTAAGCTGAAGTGGCAATGGGCCGGCCAAATAGATCGAAGAACCGATAACCGATGGGGAAGAAAGGTTCTCGAGTGGCAGCCGCGTACCGGTAGGCGTAGTGTAGGGCGACCCCTCACTAGATGGAGTGACGACCTGGTAAGACATGCAGGAAGTCGGTGGATGCAGGTGGCTCAAGGCCGTGCTTTGTGTCATTACTTGGGGGAGGCCTATGTTCAGCAGTGGACTAGTGAAGGGCTGTAATGATGATGATGATTACTTTACTACGTTTTATTAAATCAGGAAACACACCAGATTCGATGCTAGTATTAAAAATAATAGCATGATGACATGTAATTAAATCAATTATGACGCAATAACTATACAAACATCCCTTATAAATCTGCGGTTCTCATTATATCAAGATCTTTAAAGTATTTTACAACACTTTCACTAACTTTGGTAACACTTTCTTTTATACGGGTTTTAACCTTTTAAAGGCCACAAAGCATGGTTAATGAGCCATCTGCAACCATCAACTTCATGCATGTTTTACCAGGTCGTCACTTCATCTAGTCCTCTTCATCTTCATCCCCCAATACTACACTTCGCCTACTAGTACCGGGCTACCACTCGCTCAGTTTCTTCAGTTCCGTTAAGATATGTCGGTTACTCCGGTTCTATTGCGTATATCCTTATTTATAAGTCTATCATACGGAGCAACTCCGAGCATAGCCTTTTTTATAGCTCTTTGAGCGACTTTGAACTTCCTTATACGGCCAGCATTAAAAAACCACGCTTCAGGTCCATAGATCATCACTGGCATCACTTACTGTTTGTTCAATTTTGTTTTGAAGTATTCAGGTATACCTGACGAATAGATGCTCGCAATCTCCCGAACGCCAGTTGAATCCGTCGATCCGTCCGTCGTCAGTAGTATCCAATGTCAGTCGTGGTTGGACGTACCTAGCCGGACTATTTGTCCCAGGTAAAGAGCCAGGTAAATGTACTTATCAACAACTTAGAGCTTAGTGCTCCCAATAAATACCGGCATAGGTGTGACATTAACGTTACACATGACCTTTGTTTTGTCTATGTTTGGGCGATACTTTTGAGGTTGTTGCGCATAGTGCTCAAGTCCTCCAGCGATTCTGAATATGGCAAATCGAAGGTGAATGGTGTACTCGTCATTGATATTAATACCATATTTTTCTAGTACAGTGGCTTGAAAACGTCTCCCAGTGAAGCCGTAAAGAGTTTCGGGG